GATTTGCAGTGCCATCAAAACTGGGGTCATGCCTCATAGACTTGCTTACCTGCAGATAGGTCCAGTCTCACATTCTAGGTGGCTCACAACGGCTCTCAGGTTCTGCAGAATTTGGGTCGCTCATCATAAACTGAAAGGGAACCAGCTTCACAACCTGAGACTTATTGTCCAATTCATCGTGAGTGTCTACTTGCCAAATTGGTTCAACACCAAGGTCAAGTCATCGTTCTCCGAAGGTCCGAGGCATGTTCTCTTCCAGCTTGAGCTCCTGAGGAGTCAGCCAAGGAAGGTTGTTCAGATTGTGGAGCAGACTGTGAGGAGATCTTCCTGGTATGCTCATCCCGAGGCACTTCTGCAGACAATGCTCTGCAGTAAGGATGAAGAGGAGAGAAGAGTGGCAGTCAAAAAGATCTTGGATATGAGACTTATGAGAGGATCCGGGCATGATGAATCAGTTGGTGACGATTCCTTCAGGGTCAGGAAGACTCCTGAAGTCAATCTAGGTGCCAAGACCCTCACTGATCTCATAGATCTGGATAACATCCAGGCTGGCAGTGAGCCCCCTCTTACCTGCAGCCTCACCAATGTTCAAGTCAGAGCTTTCCTGGACAACCCCATGCATGTCCCTGCCTGGCCCTCGCACACCCAGAGTATAGAGCGTTGTGTACAGCAAGTGAGCGAGGCCAGCAGTCACGTGTACAGCCAGGAGAGGAGGAAGGCTACATCCGAGCTCAGGTGGTCAGCAGGGAGGTGATGAGTAAAACAGAAGCAAGAAAGACATGTTCTCTATGGTGTGCAGCAACACCGGGTCGTAGTAGTAAAACCGGTTTTTGTATTTGATGATTTTGTTTTCTAAAGGAATATTAAATTTAATAAATGTGTCAAGATCATTCGTTTCACTATTCTGGATCATTTTCATCCTAATAAATTAACCTGATACATTTACTTTACTTTAAATAAGCTATTTAGTGGTGTTGGTAAAAGGGTGGGAATACTGAATTTTCATAAGATTTCAAGTTAAAATTTACCTTGCAAAAAATGAAAACTTTTCAAATCTGAAGATATCACATGATTCTGCACATAGAACTACATCATTAATACCATGGGCCGATTTTTCAAACTCAAAAAAAAAAATTCGCCTCCGTATGACACACCCTAATGGGTATAGACCATTGAGGATAATCATCATCATTAACCATGGGTATAGACCATATAGAGGATCATGATCATCATCATCATTAACCATGGGTATAGACCATATAGAGGATCATGATCATCATCATCATTAACCATGGGTATAGACCATGAGGAGGATCATGATCATCATTATCACCAACCATGGGTATAGACCATAAAGAGGATAATGATCATCATCATCGTCACCAACCATGGGTATAGACCATAAAGAGAATCATGATCATCATCATCATTAACCATGGGTAAATACCATAAAGAGGATCATGATCATCATCATCATTAACCATGGGTATAGACCATGAGGAGGATCATCATCATCATTAACCATGGGTATAGACCATGAAGAGGATCATCATCATCATTAATCATGGGCATAGACCATGAGGAGGATAATGATCATCATCATTAACCATGGGTATAGACCATGAGGAGGATCATCATCATCATCATTAACCATGGGCATAGACCATGAGGAGGATCATTATCATTAACCATGGGTGTAGACCATGAGGAGGATCGTGATCATCATCATTAACCATGGGTATAGACCATGAGGAGGATCATGATCATCATTAACCATGGGTATAGACCACGAGGAGGATCATGATCATCATTAACCATGGGTATAGACCATGAGGAGGATCATGATCATCATCATTAAACATGGGTATAGTCTATGAGGAGGATCATGATCATCATTAACCATGGGTATATACCATGAGGAGGATCATGATCATCATTAACCATGGGTATAGACCATGAGGAGGATAATGATCATCATCATCATTAACCATGGGTATAGACCATGAGGAGGATCATGATCATCATCATCATTAACCATGGGTATAGATCGATAAAATATATACCCAAGACCAAACCCAGTGCCTCTTGGAATACGAGGCGATCCCTACACATGAACCATGCGGCGGTCGATAAAGTTAAGAAGAAAACCCAGAAATTCAAGACGTGGGTTGGGTCAAACGATGAGCAGGACAGGAGGATGTATGCAAGAGCCAGAAACCAAGCAAAGATAGAAAGTAGAAGGGCTGAAAATGAGTTCCAGAGGCTGGTTGCAAGCGAGGTCAATTCAAACCCAAATGAGTTTTACCACTACGCAAAGTCGAAATAAAAATCGCAAATAGGAGTATCACACCTGAGGCTTGAAGATGGTAGTTTCGCAGATTCTGACCAGGATAAAGCTGAGGCTTTGAACAGCTTTTTTTCCTCGGTGTTCACAAGAGAGGATGCGATTAACCTTCCTGCGTTTGAGGACAGACGGCTCGACACAGCACTGACCCACATTGTGTTCACAGAAGAGGGTATTAGAAATAAACTGTCAAAGCTAAAGGTCCATAAGAGACCCGGCCCTGACATGGTACATCTTAGAGTGCTAACAGAGTTGAGCAACGAGCTTGCCGAGCCCCTGAAGCTCCTGTTTTGTTAATGCCTGGATGAAAGAAAGGTCCCAGTGAATGGAAAGTGGCTTATGCAAGTCCTATCTTCAAGAAGGGCGATCGTCACTCCACGAACAACTATAGACCGGTGAGCCTGACCAGCATAATATGTAAAGTACCTGAGAGTATTATCAGAGATACCGCGATGGAACATCTACTACGAAACAACCTTGTAAAGGATTGCCAACACGGTCTTATGCCGGGGCGCTCCTGTTTAACACAATTGCTCAAGGTATTGGATGTTTGGACCCATATTCTGGAACGGGGTGGTAATATCGACAATTTATTCATAGATTTTGCCAAGGCTTTCGACAGTGTACCCGACGAAAGGCTGAAAATTAAACTGGAGGGGTACGGAATTCGGGGAAATGTCCAAGCGTGGATAGAAGACTTTCTACATGACCGCAAGCAGTGTGTGGTGATTAATGGCACGAACTCATCATCCGTACCTGTCACAAGCGGGGTACCACAGGATAGTGTATTGGGCCCGTGTTGTTTGTTTGTTTCATAAATGACATGCCTGACGTTGTACATTCCTCCATACATATGTTTGCCGATGACGCCAAGTTATTTCGGGAAATGAAGAACCAAGTGGACTGTGAAGAGCTGCAGAAGGACCTCTGTGGGCTCCAAGAATGGTCGAAGAAATGGCTGCAGAGATTGAATGTCACGAAGTGTAAGAGGATGCACCCGGGGTGTACCAACGGTAAGGAGGCATATCATATGTCCCAACGGGATGAAGAAACTGCACTACAGTATTTGAGACTGAATGTGAGAAGGACCTAGGTGAGTATGTTGACAATGAGATGAATTTCTCGGGCCATTGCGAGAAGAAGGTAAATCAGGCAAATAAATTATTGGATCTTATAAGAAGGTTGTTCAGATATTTAGATGGTCTGTCTCTTGTAACGATCTTCAGGAGTGAAGTGCTTCCCCATCTGGAGTACTGTCACCCCGTCTGGTCCCCGAGATATGCTAGGGGCTGTCAGTTAGTTGAAAATGTTCAAAGGAGGGCCACCAAACTGGTGCCTGCACTTTAGCTACCCTGAGAGATTGGAGAGCCTGAACTTGCCAAGCTTATACTACAGACGGGCAAGGGGTGACCTAATTGAGGTGTATAAGTATCTCAAGGGGCACTACTTTGTCGCGTGTCCTTACTTGAAGCTGGCGGACGCCCGCCCCACAAGGGGTCACAGCTCAAGATTGAAGAAGCCGCAAGTCCAGAAAACTGTGAGGGCAAACTTTTTCGGAGTGAGAGTTGTGAACTCTTGGAACAATCTACCAGAAAGTGTTGTGACGGCACCAAGTGTGAGCTCTTTCAAGACAAGACTTGACGAACACTGGAGTGGGTTCAGGTACATTCAGGAGCCAGTGCATGCCCAGTACTTGCCAACAGTGCGTAACAGAGTCATGGCCGATCGCCCAAGCGGCTAACGAGCCGATCATATGGTGAAAAGGATAAAAGAAAAGGAAAAGTAATCAGAGACGTGACCAATCGCCCAAGCAGCTGACGAGCCGATCAGTGGTGAAGAGGATAAAAGTAAATGTAAAAGAAACTCCCGTGCTACTTCTGGGTGGTGTTGTTCTAAAGCTAGCATATCACTGAGATGAATAGGGAGTCAATGAGCATAATTGACACTGTTGTTTGCAAAGAAATAAGGTATAATTTCTAACAGAACATCGTGTTACATTTCAAAATTTGCTTCTCTGAATGATCGGATTAGTATGAATATGGTCAACTTCATGTCAAGGGCAACATTCCAGAATTGAAACTGTGGACTTTCAGATTTCCTTTGGTCACATCACTCTTCAAATCTCAAGGTTGTATCTTTAGGCACACCTGAACAGTGCTCATTATATGCGTCCTTCATAAGCTTGTACAGACTACAAGCAGTAATCTGATATGCATGGCGTGTTCTTGTGACACTAGATGCCAAGAGGAAAAACTCTGCTGTACATGATGAGGCCATTCCTGCCTTTACATGGAAATCACCTGAATTGATGAACACAATAATTTTTATGCCATAAAGGAAAATCTCCCATCCACATTTGGTGGCCATCTTGGAACTTTTTAAATGCCCAATCAAATAGATTTGAGAAGTTACCCATATTGAATCTTCATGCCAATTTTCATACTTGAATCACCATTTGCAAGATTCCCTAAAAAAATTGACACTTAGCAGCTCTCCTATTCTATCTGAACATGCCTTGGTCCCAAGATTGAGGGTCAACCACCCCAAGATAGCCACTACTTCAAGTCTTACTAGCCACCCTTCATTCCCAATATCTTAGCCCAGGCAAGATGAAAAAGTAAAAAGGAGAAAAATGTAATTGTCAATTTAAACTAACCTGTTAAGATCTAGAGTATTAAGGGATTCAGTGAAGACGGCAACACTTGCATTAAAAGCCTGAGCAGCATCAGCAAAGAATTCTGAAATTAAAAAAATACAGCAGTACAGTAATACTGTAGCTTCTTAAATACATCAGTATAGTGACAGATTGTTATACATCAGTCCAGTAACAGCTTGTTAAATACATCAGTCCAGCAACAGCTGTTAAATAAATGTTAAAATGACTAATAATTTCAATATAAAAAAGCAAAAATATTAAAGAGCACAACTTTCTTGATATTTACTCCACTGGAAACGAATGTAAACATAGAACAGATTACTGAATTGGCAGACTAGCCCATCAGCTGATGCTCACAACAAAACGTGATGTTCATAAGGATTTCGTTAATCGAATATTTGTTCGTTAACCGAATTGAAAATTCTTATGGAAGGTAATTCGTTAACCGAAATTTCGTTAACCGAGGGACCACTGTATATATATATATATATATATATATATAACATATATATATATATATATATATATATATATATATATATATATATATATATATATATATATATATATATATATATATATATATATATAACAAAATATATATATGCAGTCATGCGCCGGTTAACGTCCAACCGAACAACGTCCGATCACATATACGTCCGCGCCCCCCCCTCCCCCCCCAAAAAAAAACTTCCGTGATGCCTGCTGGACCACCACTCCACGACCCCCTGACGGAGACACGGAGACACGATGATCCTCCCCATACTGGCCAGATATTATGTGTTAAAGGAATATGCTTCCTTCCTTAGGCTTTTTTTAAGCATTTGCCTCCAGGTGTAATGTTAACCTACATCTATTAAGGATAAAATCTTTCACCTACAAATTGACAATAACACATTTGCTGTAATCAAACATATCTAGATGCCTCAACAATTGTAGCCCCAGTTGCAATTGGGGTTGCAATTTCATTACTAAGGAATAACGAAGTCTCTGGTGCACTCTAAGATTAAGAGAGAAAACGGAGGACTCAGGCGTCCTGAAGCAAGAGACAACGGACTCCTATGATGGGGGACACAAGCAGACAGACTTGACAATCACTTACTTGACAAGTTTTACCAACCATTAGTTGTGTACGTTATCTAGTGAATTTAGTCAATATTGTATAGTATAATACACACTGCAATACAGTGGTCCTTTGATTAACAATAGACCTAAGTGCAAACCTGTACTGTACATTTACTAAATGATTACGGTACTAAAATTGTTATGTCTATTGCAAATATAGATTGTTTATACAGGTATTCAAATAAATCACTATCTTACAAGAATTCCAGCAATGTAAGTTATATTCACCCAGGTCGTTTGGGTGGCAAATTATGAGAAGAGCTTAGTCACTCTTAAGGAATGATAAATAAACACACAGGCCTTCAGCGTCAACTGTCAAATCATATCTCAAATAAATAAACATAAATAAACACCAGACACTCTGTCACCTCACCTCCTACTTCCCCCCTGCTCCCCCCCTCTTCCCACGCTCGCTGGCTACCTCCCTCCTTGTGTTCCCAGACAAAAGATTGCTGATAACTTTATGCTTTAAGGTGTTTATTTTATATAATATCTCAGACTGAAGTTAGGATAATATAATTTGCATTGCTGAAATCCTTGCAAGACACAAATTAATTTGAATATAAACGTCATATATTTTGCACGAGATAAAAATTGAAGTACATTAGTGTACAATACTGTACAGTATTACCCCGCTTTAGGCATTTTTTTTTACGTGTTTCCACGTTTACGCGGTACCCTGCCAGACACGCAATGCTCACTTTATGCGGTGCGTGTACTCTTACGCAGAGAGGGGCTGGCAGTCATCTCACGCCTCGCCATTTTTGGATTCAAACCTCCCGCCATCTCTCCCGCCATGTTGGGTAAGCGGCGCGAGTAGGTTGCGCAAATGCGCAGTGTATGTCTTTATTGCATTATCGGTGACGTCATATGACGTATTGGACTGTGATTGTGCCAAGCATCCTTACCTCCCTCCCCCGCTAGCTGTGATTGGTTTAATGTAATATGATGTGCCCCGCCTCGGGAGCATGCAAGCCCCTTGACCTACCCGCGTCAGTTGCACGCCTCCCGGCTACACCGTGTATATCGGTATCTATTGTTCCATAAGAATGGCTTCCATCGGACCACCACCACCACCACAAAGAAACCTTGCATTACCTGGACCCAGCCACCCTAAGACAAAGAAGGTACGACGTTCCCAAAGCTACGAAATTATATACAAGATCATCCAAGAGTTGGAGAAAGGAACAAGACAGGTTGATCTCACGCGCCAGCATGGTGTTAAGGAATCTACAATCTGGACGATCAAGAAAGATGCAGCCAAGATAAAAGAACACATGAACATCACAAAGTCTACAGGTGCTTCTATGATCAAGTATTGCCACAACCAGGTGCTTCTGAAGACGGAGAAATTACTTGTGAGCTACTTGATTCGTCAGGCACGACGGAACATGGCGGTGGACAAGCGCTCACTTAAGGAGTACGCACGTGAACTGTATGCTGCAGTGTCACGTAAGATGGGAATTGCAGAGCCCAAACCCTTCAATGCTTCCTCTGGGTGGTTGCAGAGGTTTAAGAAGAAGAACAAGATCAAGAACATTAACATTGGTGGTGAAGAAGCTATTGCTGACCGTGTTGCGGCTGGGAATTTTCCTCCGTTTTTACGTGAGATTATGGAGGAAGGACAGTACACCGACGACCAGGTGTTTAACATGGACGAATCTGATCTTTTTGGAAAAAGCTACCTTCCAAGACCTTAGTTGTGAAGAATGCCAGCAAGTGTCGGGGCCGGAAGTTGCAGAAGGAGCGCATCACCGTCCTGTTTACCACCAATGCCTCAGGTACCTGTAAGCTCAAGTTATCGGTGATCCACAAAGCACGCAAGCCGCACGCCTACAAGAGCATGGACATGACCAAGCTAAATGTCCACTGCCTGACCGCACGTAAGGCGTGGATGTTCTCTACTCTGTCCCTCTCCTGGTTTGATGACTGTTTCGTTCCCGATGTGAAGAAATTGTGTGAGCAACAGAATGTTCCATTCAAGATTTTGTTGCTGCTTGACAACGCACCAGGACACTCGCCCCTACTGTTAGATCGTCACCCCAACGTAAAAGTGGTCTTCCTTCCTCCCAACACTACGTCATAAATACAGCCCATGGACCAAGAATTAATCTGCACTGTGAAAGCTGCATTCTCTGCAAAGAAGTTTAAGCTCCTGAACGACTATACCAACAACAAGGATGAGTTGCGTAACCTGGGTGACACCGATAGCAAGAGCAAAGAGGACGAGGAACAACAGTTGGCAGAACAAGAAGTTCTTGCGAAACATTTTTGAAGAAAATTCAACGTCAAGAAAGCTGTGGACTTCTTGGTGGAGGCATAGGATTAGCTGTCTCTTGCAACGGTTCATCACGCATGGAGACATGTGTTGCAAGGTATTCCAGGTGGGAGGCAGAGTCAATCTGTGACTGATGAGGTTCAGACTGTTGCAGTAGCAGTGGACCTTGCCAGAGAAGCTGTGCAGAGTGGTACAGCTGCAGGCTTCTCCTAGACCACCAACGACGACATTATGGAGGTGATAAGGGATCCTGATGTGACTGCCGACGAGATGTTACATGATGATGACGCCAGTAAAGAGGCAGGTGGTGCGTCATCCCAAGAAGAACGCAAGTTATCACATAGTAATGTAAGGGGTGCCATCGAGTGTGTTGAGAAACTCAAGCTCCTCCTTTCCGACGACTCTGACGATAACCGGTATGAAGTCTTCACTACCCAGCTGTTGCAGACTATGGAGCCCTACATCAAGGTGTATCACAACAACATCAACACTAGCCGTCAACAAAGCATTACCGAGTTCTTTGCCGCAGCCCACCACAGCCAGCCCAAGCCAGTGATAGTGACAGAAACAGAAACAGTGATGGTGACTTTGAGGGATTTGTCAGGGAGGCAATGATAAGTGTGGATGACAGTGATGATGACTCACATGAGGGCCAGTAGCCTGCCCTCTGCCTCGGAACCAGCCTCCATTCCCGAACGCCGACCCATCTCTTCTACTAACGTAAGTGTTAAGCCTAACCTTGATTTTTTCTAACATAACCTTCCATGACATATGTGTTAAACCTTGATTTTTCTTTTACCTGTTACAGTATATTATTCTCTTATTGATATTTCTCTTCTATATTATGTGTGTGCATACCATCATAAAGTTAAGATGTTATTTTTACTAAAATGTACGTATTGTGTCGGGAAAAAGTGGAGTTTGGGGGTCGGCCCAATCTCTATTTCAATTAATCCCATATGTTCTGCTGTTCCCTTTACGCGTTTCCCGCTTTACGCGGGCCTCCGAGGGTTCAATTGACCGCGTAAAGTGAAGTGTTACTGTGCATATTTTCGAGTTCCGACGTTAGTGATTGCGCTGTGTACTGACAAAATTTTCGTTTGTAATTCCCTTTAAAATGGCTGGCATATATATATATATATATATATATATATATATATATATATATATATATATATATATATATATATATATATATATATATATATATATATATATATATATATATATATATATATATATATATATGCCAGACGAATCAAGTAGCTCACAAGAAAATTCTCCGTCTTGAGAAGCACCTTGTTCTGGCAGTATTTCACCATTGAAGCACCTGCAGACTTTGTAATGTTCATGTGTTCTTTTATCTTGGCTGCATCCATCTTGATCGTCCAGATCATAGATTCGTTAACACCATGCTGGCGCACGAGATCAACCTGTCTCGTTCCTTTTTCTAACTCTTGTATTATCTTGTACTTCACCTCGTAACTTAGGGCACGTCGTATCTTCTTTGGCGTAGGGCGGCTGGGTCCAGGTAACGCAAAGTTTTTCTGTGATGGTGGGGGTCCAGTGGAAGCCATTCTTACGAGATTATCGTAACAATAGAACACAGTATACACAGGGTGACTGGGAGGATCGTAACTGACGCGGCTAGGTCAAGCGGCTTCTTCCCTCCCGCGGCA